CTTTTGCTCTTTTCCAGATGCCCCAAGGCTCAGCAGAAGCCCCCAGAAAAATACAACATGTTCTTACCATGACAATGATTTCCTATGTATTTGTACCTGGGATGCTAAGCCACTCCCCCAGCTCAAGTGGGAGGTGGATGGGGAGAGGATAACCGAGGAGAACAAGGGAAGAGGAAACTGGACAGTCCAACCTTCAGTCCAGAAGAATGAGGCCACCAGTACCTTAAACTGGACTGGCAGCCTAGATAGAGATCATAATATTATCTGCATGGCGAGCAATTCTTATGGAATCCAAAGAATGCAATTCCTGTTGAAGGCCAAGAGAGACCCAACTCCAGAATCTTCCATAGGTAAGGAACTCCACCAGGTGCATGTAAGGGTATCTGGGAATTACCTTGAAAGGTAGAAGGAAAAACCCACAGCCTAGACAATAAGAGCCCTGGTGGTGCAGTCGTTAAAATGAAGTGTTGCAGGCTAACTCTGCCAATAGCCTGGAGTTCAATCCTGATGGGTTTGAGATTGACTCAGTCTTATTTCCTTCTGAGGTCAGTAAAATGAGGACCCAGATTATTGGGGACAATGCTGACATTGTAGATTGCTCAGGGAAAGGTAAAAGTTCCCCTCGCACATAGTCATTCCCTACTCTAGGGGGTGGTGCTCATCTTCATTTCAAAGCTGAAGATTCAGCACTCTCTGAAGATGTCTCCATGGTCATGTGGCCAGCATGACTAAATGCCGAAGGCGCACAGAATGCTGTTACCTTCCCACCAAAGGTGGTTCCTATTTTTCTACTTGCAATTTTACATGCTTTCGAACTGCTAGGTTGGCAGAAGCTGGGACAAGTAACGGGAGTTCACTCTGTTATGAGGTGCTAGGGATTCGAACTGCTGAACTGCTGACCTTTCTGATCGACAAGCTCCGTGTCTTAGCCTAATAAATTGCTCAGAGAGAGCTATAAAACACTATGGAGAGGAATATAACTCTAATTGCTATTGTTATTGCTAAACAATGGTCTGATAAATGAAATATGAATCCTAAGGAAGGGCGAAGAGGAGAAAACATCTCAGAATAGAATCACCCTGTTGTTTGGGAGACAATAAATGTAAGGAGGGGAGAGGTAGTTTCAAGCTTTCAAGTTTCAGTTACAAACGTCCTTGAACTTACAACTAACTATTGGGCCCAGAATTTCCATTGCTATGCATAAGTAAGTCACACCCTTTCTTTGCAACAGTTGTGAAGCAAATCACTGTGGCTGTTAAGTGAATCACACAGTCGTTAAGCAAAACTGGCTCCCTCTCCCCCCATTGATTTTACTTGTCAGAAGCCAGCTGGAAAGATCACATATGATGATCACATAGCATTGGAATGTTGCAGTTGCCCTAAAATTCATGCTGGTTGCCAAGTACCCACATTTGGATTCTGTGATTGTGGGAAAGCCATGGTGGTTGTAAGTGTGAGGACCACTTCTAAGTCACTTCCTTCAGGGCCGTTGCACTTGGAAAGGTCCCCGAATGGATGGTTGTAAAACAAGGACTATCTATAACGATTCTTATCTGTTTCCTTCAAGGCCATCTCCTTGATTCTCCATAGTCTTGGGAACAGAGATTTCTTCTGTCTCTAAGCTGTGTAGTCTTTGGAGCTAGACTTCCTAATTTCCTAAAATCTCTTACCAAATGATTACCAGAAGAAATAGGCTTCCTAATTCCCCAGGGTTGATTTTCCACAAAGGTCTTGGTTTATTGTTGCAGGAAGATCTAATAAGACTTTGTTCATTGCTGGGATATGTGGAATTTTTCTGGGAGCTGGAATCTTCATGTTGTGCCTATTCCTGATCAGGTGAGTTTCTCTCCAAGTCATAATGTTTTGATAGGATTGATAAAATTAAACTCTGAACAATAACTAGTATCAATCTATAAATCTCACTGTAAGTTCATCATCAGGCAAAGGTTCCCCTCGCACATATGTGTTAGTCATTTCTGACTCTAGGGGGCAGTGCTCATCTCCATTTCAAAGCCGAAGAGCCAGCGCTGTCCCAAGACATCTCTGTGGTCATGTGGCTGGCATGACTAATCATCAAAGGGGCAAGGAATACTGTCACCTTCCCACCAAAGGTGGTTCCTATTTTTCTACTTGCATTTTTACGTGATTTCGAAGTGCTAGGTTGGCAGAAGCTGGCAAATCTTTTACGTGGCACCAGGGATTCGAACTGCTGACTTTTCTGATTGACAAACTCAACGTCTTAGCCACTGAGTCACCGTGTCCCTAAGTTCATTATACCCAGCCTATTGCAGATCCTGCCCAGGTCCTACCTTCCACGTTCTAGGTTTTCAACACATAGATGGTGACATTTGGAAGGACCATTAAATGTTGACAATCGTTATGTTCCAGATCTGGTAGATCTCAGTAGAGCTGCAATGTTGAACAATTCGTTAATTGCTCTGTGAACAACACGAGTGAAGAATAGGGCCAACATACTAATTATAATTATCACTCTTTATGGGATATTTCACTGCAAAGATGAAAGGGAAATAAAAGTAGGGAAAAGATAGAGAATGTGTGGCAATATACATGTGTTTATTGTATGCTTAAAAATGATTTAGATGAGATGCCTCAGTACATGTGGCAGAATTGATACAGCATCTCTTTAAAGCAGCCACTTTTTCAGGCTTTGTCACATAGCTGCTTTAATGAGCCACATTACATTTTAAAAAGCCACAATTTTTCAAGCATGGAATAAATCCAGTAGAATAAATGACATCTGCCACTAATTTTAACAGGTCTACTTTAGACAGGATGAAATTTGGATCCACCCTAAAGTAAGTAGTGGTTTCTCTAAGGTTAGAGGATTACAGGGTAAAGGTGCAAGGATTTGTTTGAAAACAAATTGCTTATTTGATTACAGTCACTAAGTTACTCCCAAGTAGAGTATCTATAATAGTGCAGAAAACATTCTGCTTGACTCCAGATGTTTAGCCTAAACTACCCATCTGTCATTGTTATATTTGGGAAGAGCCAAAGTATGATCTACTCTTCTATGGTGACTTGATCTGAATCTTTAGTATTTAGAGTGTACAAAGACACAAGCCCGCAATCCAATGTAATTATGCTTTCAAATAAATGGAGTGTTGCACTGTTGTGGGAAGGAAATGCATCATTAATAAGAGAAAGGGACACAAAAATGATGGATGTTAACCTATTAGGGGATTGGCCCAAGCAAAAAGTTAGGGATTAAGAAATCAGCTTTAGGAGGAAAAAATAGAAAGGCTGATGGATTCTTACTCTGTAATAACTATTGCTGTAGCAGTGGATTACTCTAGTAATAGAAGTTGGGCTAGATAGGGGTCCTTAAACTCTTTAGTTCATCCACCCCTTGATGAAGTTTCTAATTGCTTATTAGCCCCCAAACATTTATTATATGAAAATAATGTAATAAATGCACAAAAATGATAGCAATAACCTGTTGGCTAGTCTTACAGTACCATTAGTTAAAGTATTGTTGATTACCCCTTAGAGCAGTGATGGGCAACCTTTTTGGCGTGGTGTGTCAAAAATCGGCAAAAAATCGAGCATAACTCGNCTGATTAATTGTTCTGACTGTCAGGAAATTTCTCCTTAGTTCTAGGTTGCTTCTGTCCTTGATTAGTTTCCATCCGTTGCTTCTCAACCTGCCTTCAGGTTCTTTGGAAAACA